GACTGGCCTAGATCGATAAGCACAGTCCTGTATAAGCAACCACTAGTCGCTTAGTATGGTCTTCGAGTGACCACACTCCTACAGAGTTTATGTTTCACTATAATAAAAGTATATCAATACATACTCATAAGGCCTTTAAAGGCCACATAAACCCAACATCTCTCTCTCTCTCTCTCTCTCTCTCTCTCTGGTAGTAGCCTGTTCAAGTTGTGTTACCATCTGGAATTAATCAGAATCATATCTGATTGCTAATATTGTTCTCAATGTTTGGAGTGTTTTGTTATCTTGCTGACTGTAATTAATCAAGATATTTGTTTTTGGATAGGCCCCTCCCAATTCCTGCCCACCCCTCTTCTCACTCTCTATATATGCATTATCTATCTCTATCACTTCCAATGTAGATTTGGTTGTTTTTGTGATTTTACTATTACAAACACAAAATACTGCAAAGAACTCTCTCTTTATTAATTAATCAAGAATATACAAGATCCCGTATAAATATACTGTTAATAACAGTTCTGGATAGATACCAACAGTTATGGATAATTACTAACTAATCTTGAGATACCTATTGACACCTAACCTTATCAAGAGATATATATACCCATATACATACATATTCATACTGATATGTATTCATAATGATGTAAATCAATACTGACAAGGATATGTATCCATAATGATGTATATCAATACTAACAAGAATATATGTATATCAATACTAACAAGATATTCATACGCTAACACTCCCCCTTCAAACTCAAGATGCTTTAACACAAAGCAGCTGGAATTTTAACAATAAGTTGCATAAATGAACAAGTTGGATCTTTAAGTCTTCACGTGCATAGAATGCTTGAACAACAAACACAGAATGACACTTGGAAGAGCCAATAGAACTCGGTGTGGATCCTTGACAGATTTAGCAACTCGCAGTCCAGAACACAAGCCAGAACAGAGACAAAGACTGTTTTGCAGAGAGTCGAAACAGACCCGGCAGAGAGCATAGAATCAAAACAGACTTGCCAGAGAGTAGAGAGTCGAAACATGACTCAGAAGCCTTTGGCAGTGCTTCTTTGGTCTATGAGTTTCTCTAAATAAACTGAGAGTGTTGATTGATTCAACCATGGATGAAGATGAGAGCTAAAGTTTTTGGACGAAGCGGAGAGCTGAAGTTTTTATGCTTTAGAATCGAAGGGATCGATAGAAGAAGCTTGGTTGTCCCACAAGTTTTGAGTATGACTTTGAGAAGGAGGGGATTAAATGGCTAGTGTAGCGTTGGGCCAAACAAGGGCGAGAGCAGACAATGCAATTCGATGCAAAACAACAACGAGAGCAGACAATGCAATTCGATGCAAAACAATGACGAGAGCAGGTAGCCTTTTGGAAACATAGTCTCATAAAATTTACTGACCTCAGATCTGAGGTCGACGAGCCCACGAGCCCAAATTTTAGGTTGCAGAGTCTAGATCTTTGATACCATATTAGAAACACAAAATACTGCAAAGAACTCTCTCTTTATTAATTAATCAAGAATATACAAGACCCCATATAAATATACGGCTAATAACAGTTCTTGATAGATAACAATAGTTATGGATAATTACTAACTAATTTTGAGATACCTATTGACACCTAACCTTATCAAGAGATATATATACCCATATACATAAATATCCGTACTGATGTATATCCATAATGATGTATATCAATATTAACAAGATATCCGTACGCTGACATTTACTATCTCCAATTTAATTGGAAAGATGCAGATTTTAAATGGGTCCGTTTCAATATTCATTTTGATATATCTTAGACTCGCTTGAGTTACTCGGCTATGGTCGGGGCCAACTCCGGAGCACGAGCAGAGTAGTTTTAGACCTTATTCTAAAACCCTCTGAAGTTGATGAAAATGCTCAAATTTGATGCGGTTTCCTTGAATTTTAGGCCTTGGTGGATCGGTTCTCATCCATATCAACCAGGAAACTCTCAAAGGCGCTCCAGATACTCACTTGTGATAAAGCTATGGTTGCCATGAGTGACTATGGAGAAGAACATAAACTAATGAAGAGGTGCATCCTCACCAGTCTTTTGGGCTCAAACGCTCAGGTTACTAATTCACTTTCTCTACTACAGCGAATTACTCAAACTTACAATCCAATTTCCTCTTAATGAATTATTTCTTTTTTTGCATGCTATACTTAAAAGCTGATTGATTATCTTTTAGCATTCAAGTGCATCATCTGTGGTTTGGTTCTGATGTTTGCTTTGTTTGATCTTTCAGAAGCAACATCGTTTCGACAGAAACACCATGATAGAAAATATGATGCAGAGTTTGCACGATGAGGTCAAAGATAACCCTACTGGTTCAATCTGCATTAGGGATATCATTAAGAAAGAGCTGTTCACATTTTCTCTAAAGAAGGTATCTCTTCTCTATTTATTATCAAGAATCCTGATCCTAGGTGTGAAATTGATCGGTGAAAGTGAAAGAAATGTAAAATTTTGTATTTCAGGCTCTTGGTAGAGATGTAGGCTCTGTTTATGTGGAGGAATTAGGAAGAACAGTGTCAAAATGGGAAATCTATGACATTCTAGTGATTGAACCGATGATGGGGGCCCTTGAAGTGGACTGGAGAGATTTCTTTCCTTATCTGAGATGGATTCCAAACAGGACCGTTGAAGAACGGATCCAACGGATGGACTTTCACAAAACGGCGGTAATGACAGCATTGATTCAAGAGCAGAAGAAACGTTTTGCCATGGATGAGGTACATCTTTCCCATTCATACCCAGTTCACACACGCACAAAGAGACAGAGAGAGAGTGTGTGTGTTTGTGTGTGTGCGTGTGTGTGAGACAGAGAGAGAATAAGGATGGGTGTATGATGTATGATATGAGAAATTCGGAGGTGTGATAGCTCCATTCCTTCTTGTATAATAGGATTTAAATTCTTTTCAGTTCCTTGGGCACTATGTTTTCTACTTGTCTGTATCCTAAGTTTCAGGCTTCACCTAACCACAAACATGGCATTTAGATTTTACACACATACACCCCTTATGTCATATTTGATTCTTTTAGGCAACAAAATGCTGAAAATTCACTTGCCCATACATGCTAGTTTTTCATTTGAATCCAAATTGGGTTTTGGAGTATAATGGAAAACTTTGGGTTTATGCTTGTGGAAGTAGGATTCTTATGTGGATCGTTTGCAGGAGAAAGATTGCTATTTGAATTTTTTATTATCTGAAGCCAAAACCTTGTCTGAGAAACAAATAATTACACTGACTTGGGAAGCAATCATAGAGGCCTCTGACACCACCATGGTTGCAGCCGAATGGGCCATGTTCGAACTAGCAAAGAATCCTAAGCTCCAGGTGGTTTCTCTCTTCAGCCAATTAACTTCTCATTGTTAATCCGATCATCTGTTCTCCTGTTTTTTTCTTTTGGCTCCTTAGAGCCCATCTCATCAACTGTTTTAACTTATTACCGAGCCCTCATTTCTCGCTCATTTTCTATTTTGCTTTTGGGTTCTTTAGAACTGCCTTTATGATGAAATCCACAAAATTTGCGGAGAGGATAAACTCATAGAGGACGTTTTGCATCGCCTTCCATACTTGAATGCTGTTTTCCATGAGACTTTGAGGAAACATTCCCCTGTAGCAATTATGCCTCCTCGATATGTCCATGAAGATACCCAAATTGGAGGCTTCACTATTCCTGCTGGTTCTGAGGTCTGCTGATTTCTCATGAAGAATTTGAACCCCTCTTAATACTTTCAGTTTTATTATTAGTAGTTTTAAATCGCTTAAGGATCAAGAAACTAATGGAGTATGGAGAAAACCATTGTCCTTTTGGGTCATCACCATTCATTGAAGTGATGGACAGTGATTAAGAGAAAGTGAGCACTGCAAGAACATGTCAAGACCCTATGTGGGTGAGGCAACCTCCCTCCCGATTACCATCCATACTTTCTTTGAATGGTGATGATGCATTGGATTATGTTTTTTCCACAATCCTTTGGATGTGGTATGCTTTCCTTCCTAACAATAGTGTACCCAGATCATATTATACTCTCCCGATGATTTTTTCTATTAAATAGCTTTCTATTTGATGGGTCTTTATGTTATTACATTTGCAGATTGCACTCAATCTCTATGGATGCAACATGAACAAAAATGTGTGGGAAAAACCAGAAGAATGGAGACCTGAAAGATTCCTTAATGGAAAGTATGAGCAGATGGATTTGTTCAAGACGATGGCCTTTGGGGGAGGGAAGAGAGTTTGCGCAGGAGCATTGCAGGCCATGACCATCGTGTGCACTGCAATTGGTAGATTTGTTCAGGAGTTTGAATGGAGGCTGAACGGTGAGGAGGAAGATACTGAGGAATTAGTACTGCTCACCACCCACAAACTCAAACCCATGCAAGCAAGCATCACACCAAGATCAAAGATTCTTCAAACCTATGGCTAATGATGGGAGCTCTTGGTAGGTTTTAATCTTCTTCCGTTTTCATCATCTTGTTGTGTGCTGTGAATTTTGGCTGTTTTTATGTAGAAAAAGATCATTCTGTCTATGAATGTACATTGATGTTGGGTTTGCAGTTTTATAGAATCAAGGCCATTCTTAAGGTTTCCAAAGGGTTTTTGCGTCTTAAATTAAATTTGACGGAGTTTTGCAGCTTTTTTGAGTCTCTCCTGTTTGTCTCTACTAAGCTTATAAAGGGGCTTTCAGGGTCTACCCAACTTTCGGTTGTGAATAATCTAAGGCAGAAAAGATATCCTCCAATAAACCTTTAGTTCATACTGTTGTATAGAAGATGCGGAGAATAAACAACAATTAGTATTAGACTGTAGCATAGCTCTAGCTCGGTCTATATGAGAAAAATTTCGTTGTTCAAAATATAGCCTGGTCGGTTTCATGTTGATAATATCAACTGTTTCTTCTACAGTTTGGTCTATTTCTGACAGTGTAATAAAAAACAAGGATCATATTACACACGGTTATGTATAAAATAATAATAAAAATGTTTTGTAGGAGTCATATACCGCAATGTGAACGGTAATGAAGACTAGGAACCCCATAGGAAAATTAGCAAAGACGCACTGTTTTTTTTATTTGGGGTGAGTTAGTGGGGAGAGGGCCCCTAGGAATTGAGCCTAGGACGTAGTCTTGTAAATCGTCAAGCGTTAACCATTTAAACCCAGGCTCTTTTCCTAACACACACTGTTACAAATGAACCAAACGAGCCCTAAGGCTCGTACGCTATAGCTCTTTGCCTAACACACAGTGTTACAAATGAACCAAACGAGCCCTAAGGCTCGAGGGCTAGGCCTATGCTAGGCATGTTTGGTCTGAACAAATTCTAGGGCGGACCCAAGTGAGCCTTGGTTCGACTTGAAAATGTGTCTACCCATTTGATAGAATTGAATGATCCTGATAGCACGGATCGAAAGATCCAAAAATGAACGACCTTGGTTCGGCTTGAAAATGTGTCTACTCATTTGATGGAATTGAATAATCCTGATAGCACGGATCGAAAGATCCAAAAATAAATGACCAACTTTATGTGTATGTGTGTGTGTGTGGTTTTTTTTTTTAATGACATATTAACATTGGGAATGGAGGATGGGATGTTTTGTTGAGGTATTGTCCCACCTAACCATCGATGCTTCTGAGCGTGTTTTAAAATTTTCTTTCCTCCACCGTCCACGGATTATTGGTCGATGAATCCTAACTTGGAAACCTCGTTCTTTGCTTTATATATATATATATATATGCAGAAAGCAACACTTTTTATTGATTCAATTACATAACCAGAAACCTCTGTTGTAATTTCTTCGTAAGTATATTGTATCTCTCTTTTTTCTTATGGGAATGTATACAATGAGATCATTTATCATTGCAACATGAAGGTCACAATTATTTATAATTTTATGATATGAAATCTGATAGCTTGGTGTGTCACAAAGATTGAAAATTTTGTTTTAGAACTTTAAACTTGGTTATAGAACAATTATTGCAGCCATTCAATTTCACATCCAATAGTATAGATTAATTGCAACCACTTTGTACAAAAAATAAATTGTCTTATTGTATACTTTTCCTTTTCTTATATATAACATTCATGCGCTGACCACTGAACGAAAACCCCAGCCTGACGGGCTTTTTGACATGACCCAAATTCAAGAAACAGGATAAGGCCCCTAGGTGGGGTGCCGGCGGGGCCTTGTATGTTCAAACTATTCTCAAGTCGGTCCCAGTCTAAAAGTATATATTAATATATTAAATAAAAAAATTATATAGGACCCGGTTGAGACCCCGCCCGATTTTTTCGTTCAGGGCCTGGCATGGGTTATCTCATGAAATCTAGTCAGGCTCAGATTGGGACAGGCCTACCCTACATTATTTCAAGCCAGGCTCTGGCAAAGGCTGCCAGGCTCAAACCCACCCAGTTAACAACCCTCCATCCCACGTATGCAAGCATGAGCAAATCATGTGTTGTTTGAGCACAAATATCACCTTGAATGATAATATCGTAAAACAATAACAAGTCAAGAGTACAAAATCTTGACCATATTTAGCAAGTCGGGAAATATCAAAATATTGGCTCACCATAAAATTTGAATTAAATCGGTTTTGGTCCAAAAAGTCAGATGCAAATATTAGTAGTAAATATACGGATCGGTAAAAATATTGTATGTAAAAGTATCGTAAATATATCGGGTTGGATTCAAAAATTCAATGTGAAAAAATCAGATATATTTAACATATTTAAATTCTAAATTTTTTTAAAAATAAATAATTTAAAAAAACAATCAATAAATAATAAAAATTTATTGAAATAATATAATTAAATCAATCGATTTAGATATTTCATGATTCTCATCTGGTTTCTGCCCTCTCCCTATCTCTCTCTGGGTTCTGCCCCCGCTCTCTAGTTTTTGCCATGAAAGTCTCTTGTTCTGGAGGGTATGATCTATGTGACTTTTACGGGCAGAAGGTTTCATTTCACCATCAAGCACGTGGCTCTACTCATAGTTAGTAAGTAGGGGAATATCAAAATATTGGCTCACCACAAAATTGGAATTAAATCAGTTTTGGTCCAACAAGACGGATGTAAAAATTCAGGGCAAATATACGGATCGGAAAAAATATTGCATGTAAACCACAAATATATCGGGTTGAAAAAAATGGATATGTTTATTTATCCCCAAAAAAAAAGACATGTTTAAAGTTTTACATTTTTAAATTCTAAAAAGTAAATAATTTGAAAAAACAATCAAGCAATAGTAAAATTTTTACGAACTGATATAATTTAATCAATCAATTTAGATAGATTTCTGCATATCACTCTCTTTAGTTTCTGCCTCACTCTCTCTCTCAGTTTTGTCCCCAGTCTCTCTATCTCTTTTTTGCCATGAAAGTCTCTTGTTCAATTGCGTGAGCTTGAACCCATCAAAAAGTATATTTGTTGAACACAAGCCCTTAATCTATATAATACTCATAGGCACAAATTTTTATTTCAAAATTACAAAATACACTCTAAAATGGACTATCTACGCAATTTACCCCTATCTCAATTTTTTCTCACACTTTTTTCCCCCGAACAACCTTTCCTCGCAAAAACCCCCAACCTAAAAGTAATATAAAATAAGACTAAAATACCCTCAGTTCTTTTCACACGGCATTCTCTCTCCTGTTTCTTTTCACACGGCCTTCAGCTCCGGCAATGGAGGACTACGCTCCAATAGTGCTTTGTCTGACCCGCATCGCTCTGGCATACTGAGAACTGCACTTCGGCAAAGATACTGCACGCTCCGGCAGTCTGCTCCGGCATTCTGAGAACGCTCTCCGGCACTAAAAATACGCACTCCAACAGTTCGCTCTGGCAATGTAGCACCGCGCTCTGGCAATGCTTCTTGACATTCCACTCCGGCAGTAGTTTACTGCGCTGTGGCACTACTCTACTTGATATCGCGAATTGATTTGGTTTGTACGGGAAGGGCATTTCCATCTAAAAATTTAGAACTTTTTACCTTTGGGGGTTGTTGGGAGGAAAGGTTGTTTAAGAGAAAAAAGTGTGAGAAAAAATTGGGGCGGAGGTAAGTCGCACGGATAGTTCATTTTAGGTATTTTGTAATTTTCCCTATAATTTAGTGAATGGATTTCGGCCATCTCTCTATTTCTTTAGTTTCTGCCTCTCCCTCTCTCGGTTTTGCCCCCGCTCTCTCTCTCGTTTCTGCCATGAAAGTCTCTTGTTCAATTGCATGAGCTTGAACCCATCAAAAAAGTATATATGTTGCACACAAGCCCTTAATCTATATAATACTCATAGGCACAAATTTTAGATTTCACTTTCTTTGCCTGTAAAAATCTCTGGCCATGTCTACATTCTATCTCACGCATTGAGGATTGAGGTCTACACCCATGGATATCAATAGAGGAGAGAGAGAATAAATAGAAAACCCATCCATCGAGCATTACCATTGTTGGTCCATAATCACCGTTAATTAAAATCACAAATAAAATAAAAATTACTTCAAAAATCACAAAAAAAATAAATAGTTCAACACTTCAACCAATCCAAATCAGAAATAAAATAAAATTTAATACGAAAATCTGAATTTTACATGGTTATTTTCCACAATAGCTACTGAAATCTGCAACATTAATCAATGAAAAAACCATACTTTTTTTATTTTTTTTAAAAAAAACATAACTTTAGAATGCAACCATAGTTTAGAAGAAGAATACTTGGGACAAAGTTTATCTTGCAGGAGATAAACCCTAGCAGAGCTAGGGATAAACCCAATATTTGGGGAAAGTTTTTCTTTCTCAAGGAATGAATAACAAGATATTTTAGGTTAGATTAAAAATAGAAATTTCAAGTAAAGGAAAAATATATATATAGCTTTCGAAAAGAAACTTTTTTGCAAGTAATAAAAAGAAGGAAAATGTTTCTATAAGGTTGCAACCTTAAAATGTAGAATTCAAGGTGCACCTAAAACATCCATCATAAAAGGTTGTTTGGATGATGGAAAATACTCTAATTCATCATCTCGACATCGAAATGTATGAATATAAAAGACAAAAAGATTTTGAGTCTGTGAAATATTGTATCTTGTAACACAATATCTGGACTGCCCATTTTCAAGATTATCATGTATTTATAGATCTACTTAATTTGAATGATTTTTAGAGTTTAAAATTTTATAATTAAGGATGAAAATAGATTCTCAAACCATCCTAAAAACTTTTTGATATAAAAGTTACATTTATCATAAAATTTAGAGGTACGCCTCAATTGGATTCTTTAAAGTTGGCAAACCATTCTTTAAAGTTGCAACCATATGCAAACCACACCCTAAAAGGAAAGTTTTTCTAAATCCGGTTTTTGAAATTTGAATATAACACAATTTTTTAGGTCAGATAAAAATAGAAATTTTTAAAAGACGAAAAGGGTACATAGCTTTACAAAACAAATTTTCCTGCAAAGCAATAAAAGGAAAGTTTTTTAACAGTATTTTTTAAAAAATAAATATAACTCGTTTTAAACATTTTCCTTAAAATATCGCCTTTCTTTCCTGCAATTTTTTTTTAAAAAATAAAAACAGTTTAAATGTCTAATAAAAAACAA